AGGGCGCAAGATGGGCCAGGGCTGGGGCAGTGAATGTGTGATGATGTCGTTGCTTTACCCCGAGCCAGTCCCCCTTCTTGACGATCGACGCTCGATCCGCACCCTTGCTGCTACCCTTGCTGCTGCCCCCAACTCTGGGCGTCGGGGGAAGCAGGGCATGTGTAGATAACGCGGCTCCAGAGGCCAGGATTTTATCCATGCCGCCGCTCTGGTCTCGCGTGGGCTCGGGACGTGCGCAGGGGCAATGATACACTGTCGATCGCCCAGGGTAGCAGAAAGGGCGGGAGGAGCGAGAGGCGGGGGAGGAGGAGGAGGAATGGAGGAGGAGGAGAAGGAGGAGGAGGAGGAGAAGGAGGAGGAGGAGAAGGAGGAGGAGGAAGAGGAGGAGGGAAAGGAGGGGGAGGAGGGGGAGGAGGAGGATGATGAGGAGGAGGAGGAGGAGGAGGAGGAGGAGGAGGAGGAGGAGATGGAGATGGAGGAGGAGGAGGAGGAAGACCAGAGTACATCGAATACGTGTCAACGATGCGGCCATACGCTCTCCCGTGCCAAGTCCTCTCCTCATCCGTCCCTGCAGCCGTTTTTCTTCACTGCGGGAAGCGCCCACCCTGGTAGGCGCGAGCCTCACCGGCCCGCCACTCAGGCGGGAGCCTCGTTTGGACGGAAACCGACCTCCATCCTTCGGGCCATGACAAGTGGACCAGGATGGGTTTTCGCGGGATTCGCGGGCTTTCTGGGAGAGGCGTCGTTGCTGACCCAGGAGTCAGGACAGCCTCAGAGAGAACAGAGAAACACCGAACAGCCTCTTCCACACGCCGACACAGGGTCGGCGGTCCTTCGAGCTATGACAAGTGGACAAGGATGGGTTTTCAAGATCCCACTACAAAAAGGAGCCGCCCCGCATCCGTGTAGCTGTTGCCTTTCATCTCCTGGCGATGAAGCCTCACGACATCTCAAGCGATAACCCAGCTCTGACCAGGAACCGCCCTCCATTCGTGTAGCTGTTGCACAGATTCACATGTGTAGTTCTAGTTTTTTGGGGGGAGTCTTTGGCGAGGGCCCCATTCGGAAAAGCAGCGGCCCTCGACCCGTGTAGAGCAACTGTTGCGCAATACAATGGCGGTTGCATTTTTCTGGGACGTCTTCTCGCGCGGGAGCCGCCGAGAGGCCCCATGGAGAGCATGCGTGGGCTTCCACCCGTGTAACCGCTTCGATCTGTTAACCGATGTGCGCGGCGCCGAAGCGAGAGCCCGATTGTGAAAACGACCAGCCTTCCATCCATGTGTTTGCGCGCGGCGCCGAGGCGAGAGTCACAGTTTGAAAACCAACAGGAGGAGGAGGAGGAGGAGGAGGAGGAGGAGGAGGAGGAGGAGGAAGTGGAAGAGGAGGAGAAGGAGGAGGAGGAGGAGGAGAGGAAGGAGGAGGAGGAGGAGGAGGAGGAGGAGGAGGAGGAGGAGGAGCAGAGGAGCAGGAGGAGAGCAGGAGGAGCAGGAGGAGGAGGAGGAGGAGGAGGAGGGGGAGGAGGAGGAGGTGGTGGATAGAAAGAGGTCTGGACCTCTGCCCTGGGGCCGGTTTCTTATCCCGCGCCGTTTCTTGACGGCCCCGGGGGCCCAGTGAGGGCCCCTGGAGCCCGTGCGTTTGCGCGCGGCGTCGAGGCGAAAGTCACAGTTTGAAAACCAGCAGCCCTTCATCCGTGTAGCCAACCGATCCGTTGCGACTTCTGTGCGTGTTGCTAAGGCGAGGGCCACAGTGTACAAAACACCGGCGCTACATCCGTGTGACATGCGGAGTTTTCAGGACGAATGTGTACGCCGTTGATGCGAGAGCCACATTTTGGAAACCACTGGCCCTTCATCCATGCAATTACAGGATGTTCTCAGCTTCTGGCTGATACGTTGTGGGGTGTTATAAGGAAGAGGGATGACGGAAGAGGGAGGAGGAGGGTGGAGGAGCAGGATGAGGAGGATGAGGTGGAGGAGGCGGAGGAGGGAGGGGAGGAGGATGAGGATGAGGAGGAAGTGAAGAGGAGGAGGAGGAGGAGGAGGAGGAGGAGGAGGAGGAGATGAGGAGGAGGAGGAGGAGGGAGAGGAGCAGGAGCAGGAGGAGAGTAGGAGGAGGAGGAGGAGGTGGTGGATAGAAAGAGGTCTGGACCTCTGCCCTGGGGCCGGTTTCTCATCCCGCGCCGTTTCTGGACGGCCCCCGGGGTCCCAGTGAGGGCCCCTGGAGCCCGAGAGTTGGCAAACGCCTCCCGTCGTGGCTGCAGACGGCGAGAGGAGGTCCGGGATCGTCGCCACCGCCGCTGTCGCCGCCGTGGCCGCGCTCTGCTCGCCGCCGTCGCCCCCGCCGCCGCAGTCGCCGCCGCTGGCGGCGTCGCCGCCGCCTCCTCGACGGCTCGAAGACGGGACCCTGAGGCCCCGTGAGACGGCTCAAGACTCCTCCTCCTCCTCCTCCTCCTCCTCCTCCCTCCTCCTCCTCCTCCTCCTCCTTCTCCTCCTCCTCCTCCTCCTCCTCCTCCTCCTCCTCCTCCTCCTCCGGCAGGGACGGGATGGACCCCAGAGGCCCGAGAACTGCCGAGCGTGGGGCGGGGGTCTGGGGCTCCGAAGTCGGCACCTGCTTTCTCTCCAGGGGCGCGTTCCGACCGGGACTTCGAGGGGAGTCCGGCCGTGGCGACGAGAGGCCTCCCGGAGGCTCAGGAAGAGTCCGAACACCTCTTCGAGACACGAGGGCCCTGGGATCCAACGTCACGAGAAATTTGCAGCTCGACCAGAACCCTGGACGCCATCCTTCTGCGGCTTTTCTCGAGCTGGATCGATCCGTGAGGGTCCTGGGACCCGAAGCACGGCAACACCGCCCGTTGCGCAAGACTTGCGACGCCAGGATCTCGGGGTCGTGGCCGCTGCCGCCGCC